CGTTTACGAGCTGCACTTAACCGAAATATCAACCACTCATAAAATAAAACCTTCACTTAAAAACATTTAAAGATGAAAGTTTAGAATAAAAAATATATTTGTGTACCATTAGATGATAAAAGTCAGATTACACATACAATATTGATAGTATTGAACATTATGCTTTTCTTTGCCAATAAATCAACACAATCAATTGTGTAACACTCACGTTGTGAAAATCGAACAGTAAACCGAATATATAAGAAAAGGGTACAAAACGAAACTCATTCTTATTTATTTTTCCAACTGTTTAAATAACAACTTTGAGACTTATTGCTGAATTAAAAAGCTATACCTAATTGCGTCGTATAAGGGTTTTAAAAAATTACCCCGGTTCTCAGTTGTCAGACGTAGTTACAGGGTTTATGCACATCATTATTTTTTCATTGAAAGGATGTGTTATTTTTTTCTATGCATGACCCACGCATATACTGTATGTGCGGAGCGTACATGCTCCCATATGTATCCTATGTATAAATCTACACCTGCATACAGGCTTAAATCCAAGTTACATGTGCAGCTGACAAACACCGTAGTGCCACAGGTAAAAGTGTAATAAAGGTGTGACACTAGACATTGCCAGACTGTTGGTAGTTTTGACTTTGTGCATGGATGTGTGATGTGCATGAAAGTATTTGTAATGGGGAAAGGCGGTAAGGCTCTGTGTGTACAGTGTGTAAGGGGTAGTGATATCACGGTGTGTCTTGGGTAATTCGAGTTAGAGAAATTGTTTTTATTTCGATTTTCGCCCCTCTCTGGTTCGACTCTGGTTACCGAATTAGCCCGCGTATCCAGAAAGAAGTATCAATTCGATTTTCTACCTGACCGAGTCTATTCAATAAACAGAAACCGAGAACCAATATGATCGAGATTTTGTTTCTTTTGACAATAAAGAGAAAACGGACATTTAAAAACTTTTTTTTTAATCCAGCATGGTTGTCTAGTAGAGAAGAAACGAAGACAGGCCTCTCGCAAATGTTTGTCTTTTTCGGACCAAGCCGCTGGTTTAATTGCCCGAGTAATTGTCTAACGATGGCTTGTCTAATATTTCACACCAGATAAACATCAGCTTCCTTCTATTTCGGTAGTTTTATTCCATTGCTACCACTGCATGCTGGTTATTTCAGGGGGAAATAACGTCCAATAACTGAAAGCCATGATACCTCCATAAAATATTGTTTGGATACCAAACCGGACAACAGTTACAGGGATTTAATTTATTCATGGTCCATTCTTATCCCCTGAAGACCAAGGCAACTTGTAACCGAGATATTTCAGACATTTTAAGTTGGAAAAAAAAGTTCAAGAAATAATTTTACAAGTTATCTATCGGGTACCCCGGTAGTTTGTCAAAGCCACACAAACACAGATACACACAAACTCTAGGCAATGTTTCAGAGTGTAAGCTTGTGTATTACCTGCTACTTCCCTGTTAGCTGAACGATAAGTGCTGTCCAAGGTGACGTCGCGCTGTCGATCTAGCCAATCACTGCGGAGTTGAGGCTGATATTAAGGGAAAGTTAGTGGTAAGCAAGGAGAGGCTTTATTCACGTTGACATTTAAACTCTGCGGAAGATTCAAACGTAAAAAACGGGGTATTAAACTATATCAAAACTACGTCAAGCTTTATTCTTATTTCGGAAAAGACATTGGAGACACTACAACCGGTGTGCAAACTGCTTCAGGTAAGCTGCACTTTTACATAAAAAATGTACTATCTCCCATTTAATTATTTATACAGCTACAGCTTTGTCAACAGGAGTTACGTTTTTGTGTTGCTTTTCCTGTTATAAGGACCGGATATTTACTTCAGTGGGCTATTTGTTTTGGCTTCGCAATTGGAGTTTTCTGCGCTCATGATGTTCAGTTAGCCAACCAACGGGCATAATCAAGTTGTCTCACTGCAGGTCATAAGAATCGAGCGGGCTGTTTTCGAGACGTCTTTATGTGCATTATCTGTGAGATTGGGGAGTTACGTTTTTTTTAATGAAACACGTAGTCTTCATACACAGCTTTATCGAAACTAAGTTACTAAGTACGTACAGAACTTACATTAGTGACCATAAAATAAAATAAAAAGTTTTGAAAACTTATTTTTCATTGTGAAAATGTGAATATGGTGTCTCACAGGTCTTTTCAAGCATGGAACAGACGCAGAGAGTGCTTTTCGCCCAATTTGTAAGCACATTCAATCATAGCATTGACACGCTTGAACTTCAGTTTGAAGTAACATGCAATTAAAATATTTTCACCGAGGTAGACATGGGGCTCACATTACAAAAATCTCCGTCACACCCTTGTACTTGACATGGCGTTAAATGTTAAAAACTGCAACACACTGAGAAGTGAAGTGTGTTACTTCATTTAAGATGAAAACATTAATAGATTTAATATATTTTATAACTGTGCTATTCTATTTAACGTGATCGAAGTACGGAATTACACGGGACGTGTTTTCTTGAGGTACAAAGCATAAATACTTGAAAACTTGTGAAACAATGAAAAAATGTTAACTTACCTTCTACATCCTACAAAGCAAATGTAAGCACACTTCAGGACGTATGACAGTTTTATTTGTGAAAATAACAAATGCATATTTGTACTTAGGCAAAATGAACTAACATTAACCTTAAAGGGCTGCTTAGATCAGATCCGAAAGAAGGCATAGTTTTCTCCTGAAGTATCATAAATCGCATTCTATATATCATAAAAGTATCATAAATAAATTGTACCTGTAAGGCTACATGGTCTGTAATCCACAAAGTACCTTTCTGAAAAGAAGCTGCAATGTGACAAATCAGTAACTGAAGAGTAAACCTGGGTAATAAATCAAGCACCGTGTATTAGAGATCCACCTCCCTAATTAGGGATGTTTATTGGAGATTGTGTATATCCAGCTGTCATACCCAGAAAAAAAAGCTGTGACACAATTACCTCTGACCAGATAGTCTTTTGACAGTGTATGCCTACTATTGGCAAGCGATGTGTGTTGTGTAATTTACCGTTTCGATTTTTAGACTGGCTTTCACAAGCAAATGTCCACGGAAACATAGATTATGAAGTAGTTACATCTGCATTGATACTTCTAATATCAACACACATTTGACAATTTTTTACACATTCTGAGAAAAACCGATGTAATTTACAGACTATTTGCACCACAATGTAATTATTTTATGTTTTGGGGACATTGATTCATTTTTGGATTTTTTATAACTTCTGGAAATAAAGTATTGCGGATACTTTCTATACTTGGAAATCCTCTCATACTGTATATGGCTCATGTATATAATGAGACGTAAGCATATATACTGTTTTTCACATTCTTACACCCTATGTGCATGCACAATACTCATGCGTGCTATGGTTATTTACGATAACACTAACAACGTTTGGCAGATTGTAGAGATACAATTGTAAATATTTCTTCTCTTTCTCCCCGGGTAAGAAGAAAGTTGGAAGATGGGAGCAGAGAAAGCAAACCACGTATTGTTTCACGAGGATTTAAATAATGCTTATTGATGCTTAACATCTGTTTCATTTTCTTTTACCTCTAACTGTAAAGTAACCCGACCATAGTAAACAAGTGGTGTACATTAAGCTTTTTACAAGGACTAGATTATTATTAACTGCATGTGTGCTGTTTTTATAGCGTCATTTCTGCAGCTCACAAACAGGCTTACCTATCCCGGAGGCATAAGCATTATAGAATAACATGTCACAAATTGTGCATTTCTGGAGATTTTAGACTGGACTAGACAACAGGACTTTAAGCATTTTTCTGGATATTAAAAAGGTGCTTTGCAACTTGGATATTAATACAAGCAGACTGAATAAGCCTAAGAGTATAAACATACTATTTAATGATATTAACAGATTAAAGCGCTCCTTTAGAATGATAATTTCATGATTTATCTGTGCCTGTATGTATATACTGCCGCCAAACGTAAAATGTGGATTTTAATGTAACAATAACAAAATAATAATACTATTGAAATAAACTAACAAATAACTCAACGTACAGAATTGTTTGTGTTGTCGCTTATTCTGTTTAAAGAGTGGAGCAAATTTACTGCTTATGTATTCAAATAAGTGTATAAATTAAAACAATTATGCATGATACATTACAGATACGCGTTTGAAATTCTGAACATATTTTTTGCCGATTGCTTTGGACTGTACACAAATGTGGATTCATTTTATACTTGTGAGTCATTTACTGTTGCTCTTAAGTTATGTTAGTGAAAACATGAATCTGTATCCTACAGATCCATTCAGTACACAATTTGCTTGGAAAGGGAGGTGAATTCCAGCGACTCGGATTTTCAAGTCAATAAAGTTAAATACAGTCATCTTCATCTACTTATATCGATCCTAAAAACGGAAAATCCTTTCTTTCTCAAGACCGGAAAAAAGTTTCAGAAATACTTCACAGCGAATTAGTTTTATATGACCATTGATCAACACAGAATTGACACTGAGGATTACCAATGTAGCTATGCTTTGTGTTAAAATGGCGTCTCGTAAACTTCTCCAATAGAAAAGTTCGCGTTTTTCCCCCCTGTGCATATGAGAGACAGGTGCATTTATCGTCCCTACATCTTTGCTTTCATCTTAATGAAACGACAATACTGCACTAAATGAAAGTAATCGCGTCTGTCGACATTCTAGTTGTACAGAAACTTAAGTCCAGTAAAGGCAAGTAGAATTTTTAGTCGCCCGACAACACCCCCTCCCCCTTCGGCCCTTCCCATCTCACACTCACCCGCCCGCCCTACAATTAGAGAATTATTGAGATGATAAAGCTCCCTCTGGACTCTCTCATTGGCTCCGAGGCCCCCTTTCCCTCAAATCCTGATAAATCAATGGCAGCCAATGCACCCAGTCTCTTTTGTTGATGTTTTCTAATAGACCTTTCTCTCTCCAAGAATGACGTCAGCCGCATTCACCATTTCCCTCCCCTTATGATTTTTTTTGTGTTGTTTAAAACTTTTTTAGAGGGGGCACAAAGACCACTTTGCCCCGGGGAAAAATAGCGACAAGATTAGGGGTTCTTTTCAAGGCCTGGCATTAGTTGCTGCTAATCCGAATTGGGCTAATTGATAGTCTGTAAAATCGCAATCGTAACCTGAAGATCTGGCCCAAGTTCTTTCCCCTTAAATGGAGTAAAAGACAATACATTTTATTATCGTTTCCAACAAGGTTCTCTTCCATCACGCTGATTTAGTAGAGGGCTGTCTTGTTGCGATTGGGTCTGCAATTTGTATTAAAAACAAGACTTCTCTTCAGCCTTAAGAAACCAACAGGGCGGATTTACAGCTTTCCCAAAGAAATAAATAATCTATTGGAGCTATTGTTTCCTGAAAAATTGCAAAGCTGCTTGGGGATCTCCTTCTATGAAGTGAAGAACGAGGAATCGGGTTTGTACTTTAAAACCTATAAAATTATGTGCGTGTATGCTGCTAACATCTAGACGCATGGGTGTGGAGTTTAAACACTACATTTGAAACTTCCTGAGCGATGTTTTTTTTCTGCTATTTAAATCCGAACAACTAACTTGCATTTAGACTTGCTTGCGCTTACTTTACAACCCAATCAGTTAATGGAAAAGGGTTTAGTGAATGTTTTGTGCCCTGCGCACGGATTCATGTCGTTCCTCACTCTTCAGCACTGCAATCACAATTCATTATCATACTCAAATATAAGTCATATCTGTTGTTCATAGCATATTCAGCAGGGCATTACAAACCAAATGACACATAACTGGTGACATGCAAGGCTTATACTGTAAGTATGTTTAAAGTTGATCACTGTTTAATATATATGTCATATAGGCCTATAATGAAACTTAACAGTTGAATACAAACCTCTTAAAACGCCTTCTTAATGTCGTGTTTCTTCACCTGACAGTTCGGCTTCATGAAAACTGGCGAAATTTTCGTATTAGATTATATTTTGCATATATATATATACTACACCGATATACACACACAAAAAAAAAACTCCACGTAGGCAAGAAATATAAAGGAAGAGATACGTGCTCTTTGTTTTGCTCCGTCAACCAACCATTCAAATTTTAATTTTAATCTGAAATTGTCTTGCTGTTTTGGTGCAGTCCAACACTGAAATATAAAGCATCCGTAAACCCAAACTTGCAGATGAGAAGGGGGTTGGAAAAGCCGTAAGATAATTTTAAACTCTTTGAAAATTGTTTTTTTTCCCCCCATTGGTTTGAAAAACAGATCACAGACTTCCCATTATAAAATGAAAAGAAAAAATGATGGTATGGAGAGTCATATAGCGTGACTTCAGAATCCCTTGGAAGGAAAAAAAAATCCACTCATTTATTTCGATCAATTCAAAAGCGCGTATTTATCCTACAAAGCAGTGTGGCAAAGCGAATTATAACCCATCAGAGTCCGGAAAATTGGCACTGGCTAACAAGAGAGGGGAAATATATCTGAACAAGTTATTTGAAAATATTAGAAGAAGTGGCGGCTTCAGTGCAGGACTAGAGATGACAGTGCATGACGGTCTGGGCAGCTCATTATCCCACTCCTATTGAGGCGTCCTTTCACTGAGATGCAAACTCTTTGGCAGTGTCGTTTGTCTCCTCATTGTACTTTAGTTAGGAATGCAATGGTTGTCAGGACTCTTATTCACTTTCAAGATAGTTTATTGATGAGCTCTGACTTTTAGCACTTTTCACATGTCAAGAGAAGTCAAGTGTATGCATCCACGACTTAATTTTATGCTTTGCGCGTTCCAACACTTTTTCCACCTTTTTTCTCCTTCTTTGCTTTACTGTTTCTCTGCGTTTCGCATTCCCTCCGACTCCCTCTGATCCATTGGAATAAATGATTGGAACACCCTGAGCTGAGACTGGTGCTCTAAGTGTAACCTCAAATGCAGGCGCTGAGGGGTTGCTTTAGAGTGTACTGAGGTGTGTGTTAATAGTCAGGCATTCAACAAATGTAGTTCTGGTGTGTGGTCATGGCTGCGAAGTCATTTACTTACTTTCTCTGTGATTTTCTGGCAGCCACAGAAGTGGCGCTGCTTCTTGGAAATTATCAATTAAAATTAATAGAGCTTGCTTTAAGCAGGCAACCGAGCGTTAGGCGGGGAAGCCTCCCGATTAGAAAGTGTATTTATTTTGGTGGTAATTTTGAGTGCTCCCTTTAAATGTGATATTAAACATTGAGTCAACAAAGGGCACGTGGGGAAAGTTTGTGATTGTTTTAGTAAGTACACTTGGAGGCTATTTACGAGACCACTTAATACACAAAGTAAATAGCGTTTTTATCCATTGCTTTCAATGGGCTGATAGCTTTCTCCACTGCTTTGCCATACACTGCAGACACGTGCGGAGAGGTTTAAGCCAAATGTGATCCACAAAGCACTTGCCACAACTACTTACACTTCACACTTTTTTACCTCTCGTACGCTACACGTTTTGCGTTTTACTATCCTGGACGACTCCCAATAAACAAATGCGTCATTAATATCAATGGTAGCAACAACAACAAGGAAACCGATCGGAACAATAACCTCACTTTTCTTTTTAGAATTTAAGAGAAATATCTCTATTTAGCCAGGCAGGGAAAGAAAGACAGTTCACATTCTCCAGCTTTGTCTTTAAAAAAAAAAACGAACGGAGAAAAACAACCGCCGAAGTTAATTTATCGACAAAACAAAATCGCCCTCGCTACTTTTTCATGACATGTATTCGATAGGTTCGTGTGTAACTTCAGGTTTAGCAGTAAAACGTATCTGCTTTCATGCTCACTCTACAGAGCCAATTGAGCCGGTGAGAACGGCCTAGCCATCCAATAGGCAGCTTTGAGGCAATCCAATTGCTTTGCATAAGGCAATATTTTGTGTGTGAGAGAGAACTGTATTTGCATGTGTGGAGTGATTAGTGGGTTTGAAAAGAGAGCTCTGGCTCAGCCTCATTTCCCGCTCTGGCAAAGGCGCAGGAGGAAGTGTTTTGCTGGAAGATGATGACAGAGGTCAGGCTCTGCTAATGGGCCAGTGAAGAGCAGTGGAGGCGAGGCACAGACCAGGAACACATACATTAATACACTTGTACCATCACCAATCAGCATAGGTGTGTTCTCTTTCTCTACTTCTCTCTCTCTCTCTCACACACACACGCGCACACACATTTTGTGTCTCTCCTCAGTCCTGACATCCCACTTTATTGTCAATCTCTGTCTCCTTCACAGGGATTTCAATTTCTGCAAAACATCACTGGGAAAACTATTTTACTGCCAACTCTTTCAAGAGAGTCACCAGCATTTCTATTCATTTGTGTTGCGCTGAAAACTATTGAGAAGGGTTCTGACAGCGTCTCAGGATGCCTCAGAAAGGTGAGTTCGGATATATTCCTAACACTTCAGAGTTTGATTTTAAAATAATACAAACCAGGCTTATACAATGCAAAAGCAGTCTTAGGCGTGTACTCAAAAGTTATAATGTATCTGTAGGCATATTGTGTATATGTGCATCAGAGTCATTTATGCAGCATACATATGTATAGCAAAGGAAATGTGACTTTTAAAATATTTTTAAATTTTAAAGTATCACCAATATAATGTAAGTAAAATAGCCGCGTTTTCTGCCCACTCTTCTGAATTCCGAATTTATTGCTTAGACATAGAAAAGTGAATGTAATCCTTGTCATAAAGAGAACGAGGGATGTCTTCAGCTCCGCAGCAAGTAGTTCGTATACTCTTCGGGGAAGTTACAGTATGTAGTTTGAGGCTCTCTAGGTTAGCTCCTTTGCTCATGTATATGCCCGTACTCTATTTTTTCGGTGTTTGGGGATAGTTTAATGTTTATTTATGACAAGAAAGAGCAAAAAGTCACATTAGGCCAAGACAGCGATCAGTATAGACTATGGAAAAGCAATGACCCGATGCGGGAGAGTGTCATATTGAATCATACAGGCAGAAGACTCAACCGAGCGCCTTCACAAAAATGCATTGCGAACTATTAACAGTTCATTCTCCCATTTGTCAGCTTTCATCTATATAAATATACAGTTTTCTAAACAGCTATAATCCAAAAGCGTATACAACCTGAAAACAAAAGGATCTTAAAATATGTCGCATATATACAGTATAAAAACATAAAAAACCAAGGTACTGAAATACTTGTATATTTGTAATGCAGATACAAATGTGACATTTTAATTAGGCCTATTGTAGATTTATTATTAATTAACAATCTTGTATAAAACGGAAAGGATATATCTCAAAATTGTAAAATTATTTAAACTTCGGAATAATGTTGATGTAGTTTCAAAATAAGTATCTTTATGTATCTATATGTGTTTATATAGAAAAATAATACAATCATTTTAAATGGGATTAAAATATTATTTTGAAGAAACACTCTGTTACACTATAAACCTATGCATTTCAATTGAATATTTGAAGGGCAAAATTCATAGTTTAAAAATATGAAAATCGACAAAGGTAATTCGCATTATTTGTGATGCTGAAATAAAAAGAAATGCTGATTTTATATTAACAAATTAAAATAGAAAAAACTATCAAAATAGTTTGCTAATGTTGTTTAACTATTTAACAGGTTATTGTAACATACTAATGCATTTCACTATATGAATGTATTAACATATAGGCTCGAATACTTATTTTTAATTGAAGTGCTTGTGCTTGCGGATTAGTAGATTAAAACAGAAATTTAGATTGGGCCTAAATTAACCTCATGGACGGCCAACAGTGTCTTCAATTTTATATTAATCATTAACCAAGACATGAAAGGTTTGCTATAGTCTCATAACGGAGGACGCTAAATATTCAACAATGGTTTAGATTCCGAAAGAAGAGAAGAGAAAACGATAATGCGTCTTTTTTGTTACTTTTACTTCCGCCCGCTGTTTAGATCGTTGATGAATTGCTTTTGCTAAACGCTCCCTATTAAATCGGTTTGATAATTATGATGGACGATTCCGGACATTTGGAGCAACAGAGCTGAAGTACTGAAATTTGCCGTCATAGTGTAAATGTATACAGCATTGCATTTTATGGAGAAAATGTTCATTATGACAATTAACGAGATAGTAACAGAAAAGTAGGCTACGTATTACTTTTTTTCCACATTTCATGATACATTCTACAAAGTACATGGCAAGCTCGTAAGGCTGAATTGTTGTCAGATACTTCTGTTCGGTTCTAAATATTTGCTTGGTGGAGGAAAGGGATTGTTTGCGGTTTAAACCCATTTATATTATTATTTTATACATAATGTAGTAGTGAAAGCCACAGATAATGTCAAGTGAGGATATTTGAAAATTTCAAATATATAAGGGTTTATATATTCGAGTTAAAAACACCCACAAGTCGGTTATATACATAAAAAATAAAATAAGCATTTGCGAGCAAAGCGAGAGAATCTCTTCATCTCATTTCTGGTCTCCTTTTTATAACAAACCTCTTGAATGTCTTCGTAACTGCAATCGTCTTTTACCAACTGAGCGCCGTGTATAGCTGCTGTATCTTTGTACAGCCTTTAACAAAGCTCACACCAGTAGCACGATAACCTCCAAATATCTGTGACAAGAAAATATTTTTCTATTTCCCAAATTGAAACAAAAAAGGCACTGAAATCAAGCATCGGGTCGCAGTAGACATCGGTGATGCAGGGGTGTGTGCGTGTGTGTGTGTGGGTGGGGGGTTATGAGGGTCCCTACAGTTCTTTGTATTCTAGAGAGTTGTTGGTACGTTTAGTTGGAAGCTGTGTTGCTAGTTGGGGAGCCTGAGTTTTGCTCTCTGGGTTTTGGTATACAAGCAGAAAGGAAGCCATTGTTTAAATTCAGCAGGCTTTGTTGAAGAGCCTTCACCCCCTCCTGATCTTACTTTTTAGAGCACTGAGGCGAGGTAGACAGCGTGTGTCACTGTACAGTTTAAAAACAGAGGATCTAAAGAGAAAGGCAGCGGTAAATAAAATTAATTGATAACTCAAACTGTTCAGAAAATCGATTGATTAATCACGATTTTTTCAAGAAAAGTTTTCGTTGCAGTTGCCTAACCGGGCTTTTGGGGCAGAGCGATTATTATGATGCGGAAGGACTGAAAAAGTTTCAGTCGAAGCTGCGGCCTTAGAATTAGACACAGACGACTAAAGACAATTGTAAACACCGCCGTTAAAAGTGCAAACGAGTGGCTTCAGTGAACACACTTCCTCGGTTTAAATGATTTTTAATGGAATCAAAATCCAAAGAATTAACAATACAGCGCTTTATTCACAGTTTTGTTTTTTCCATTATTCATAAGATGTAATTGGTTAGGAAGTACTGTACATACTTTACATATAAATAAGTACCAAAACATATTTTATATGCTTAGAAAACGAGTGTTCCACCGATATCAAACATAGTCACATCAGTATATATATATATTTCATCTGTACTGCAGGAGAAAGTGGACGAGAAGTGGTGTTTTAATATACTGTTTTGTTTTGTCCTAGAAGGAAGACTTTAACTAGTGTGCCGCAGATGAGAGACTCGTTAAGTTGTTTAAAGTGGACAGTCAACTCTGTTTCCAGGCAAGTTTTAATATTGTTTTACAGATTTACATTGTTCTGAAAAAAAAGTAACCTATCCACTTACTTTAAACTGAACTGAGTTTTTTTAATGACGTAGCAACAATTCTTAGTCGTTGCACAATGCACAATGCATTGCTGAAAAGTAAATATATCTAGGCAATTTTGTCTTTTACATGTAGCGCTAAATTAAAAAAAAACATACATGTGCATCTAAGCTGTTATGTGTCATTACTGCTAATTAATTAATATTTTATTACTAATAGAATACTATAAACGAGCCACGTGGGATTCTGGTGTAGCATCCATCATGCAGAACAGTAAGTGACGATTTTTCTGTTATACGCTTGACAATAACTACACAAGATGATATTTAGCAGCAGGGCACGATTTATTAGAGGCGTTTAAGCAGGTTGACCAGGCAAATATTCTTCTGATTCGATGTAACAGGCTGAGATGCAGCCCGAGAGCGCTTATTATTTTGACAGATTTAGGCTTATTTTAAGTGAGCAAAAACAAAAGTCAATGGAGGTTTTCACTGACTTTTAAACTGTGCTAGTTTTAAACAGCGGCTTTTAAAAATACATTTCTTTGCTTTTGGTGTGTCGTGTTGGCTGTCGTCAAAAAAAAAAATTCATTTCAGTCATCTACTGCTTCATGAGGCCATGTTCAGTTTGCACTTAAAATGTAATCGGTGATACGTAATACGCACAATTATGTGTAATCCCGTTCATTAGACATAGTTTTGTGAGTGTTGTACTTAGGCTTGCTTCACAAAAATAAGAACAAAAACCGGCGTGAAGCAGAGGTGGAAGAAACTTGATTTTAAAATCGTTATTCTTACTTAAAAATAAGGTACAATAACTTTGCAGTATTTTCCACTATAGTGTTCC